TATATCTTACCGATCATGCTGAAGACGTTGTCTGAATATACAAGGACCCATCCTGAATTTGAAGGAAAGAAATTGAGGTAGACAATCACTTAGACGTAAAATGATGGAGATATATATATATATTTTTTAGAAAGGAAGGGAGAGGGAAAGAGAGATAGAAACATCAATGATGAGAGAGAATCATTGATTGGCTGTCTCCTGCACACCCTTTACTAGGAATTGAGCCCAAGACCTGGGCATGTGCCCTTGACCAGAATCGAACCCAGGACCCTTCAGTCCACAGGCTGATGCTCTATCTACTCAGCAAACCGGCTAGGGCCAGAAACATTTCTAATATTAAGTAAACGCAGCATATTCATGGTGGCCAAGACATGGAAAGAACCATGCCCTTCAGGAGAGCATTGGATAAAGAAGATGTGGTACACGTATACTATGGAATATTACTCAACATAAGAACAGATGAAATACTGATATTTGTGACAACATGGATGGACTTTGAGAATATTCTGCTAAGTGAAATAAGCCAGAAAAAGCTAGGGCCACATGATTTAACTCATATGTGGGATATAAAACTGAGACTTATCGATACAGACAACTGTATGGTGGTTACCAGAAGGAATGGGGTGGGCAGTAGTAAAAGGTAAAGAGAGCCAACTATATGGCGATAGAAGATTATTTAATTTGGGGTGGTGGACACACAATGCAAGATACAGCTCATGTATCATGGAAATGTACACTCAAAACCTATATGATCCTATTAACCAATGTCATCCTAATGAATGTAATAAAAATGTCTCTTCCTATCTCTTCTTTTAATGTTGGCCATCATGAGGGTCCTTTGCTTTTGAATCAGTATGGAAGCATTTATGCTTCAAACGAGGCAGAGATATTCTCATGTACCTAATCAGTTGTTTCTGAAGGCAATTACTATTAGAAAGAACTATACTAGATATTACCCTTAAACTGATAACGATTGACACGGTTCAGCTTTAAGGTGGGAAAATGGGATAAAAACTCAAATCTCTCTTACTGCTATTTTATCAGTTTGCATAAAATGAATAATATGAGCCTGGCCAGCGAGCTCAGTGGTTAGCGTCTGCCTATGGGCCTGGACGTCATGGTTCAATTCCTGGTCAGGGTACATGCCCAGGTTGCAGGCCTAATTCCTGGCAGTGGGCAGCCAATCAGTGTTGCACTCTCACATGGATGTTTCTGTCTCTCTAAAAATCAGTAAAAAATCTTTTAAAAAATAAAATTGATCACCATCATATTTACAATCATTTACTCTCTTAACATATAGTAATGTGCCTTGCTAAACAGGCACAGTTTTTCTCAGGTATCTTATGTGCTGTTTATAATTTGAAAGAGAATATGTGAATTTTGGCCTAGAAAGCCATGTTGAGTATTTTGCTGTTTCATTTTTTTGTTTCCTCAATTTTCAGATTTTGAATAGGATTGATGAAAGTTCTATTCAAAAAAAATATGTAAGCATGAGAAAGAGAGAGGGAGACAGATTGAGAGAGAATAAAGTTTCCAAAGCTCCTAGCTGCCAGCTAAGTGTCCCCACCTCGTCGGTGGTCCCGATGCGATCCAGCCAGCTCACAATGGTGCCCTGTAGTAGGGCACTACTTGCTAGTGGCCACTTGTATAACCTCCAAAGAAAAGAGGTGGACCAGTTGGCCGGGTTGGTTCAGTGTGGGCAAAACCATGGATTGGGGGCTGTGGGGTGGAGGTAAGTGGGGACCAGGCAAAGGGAATGACCACAGACACAAGCGTGCAGTGGGGAGTGGAAGGCAGTCTAGAGTCGCAGGGAGGGTAGTCATACTAGCACTTGTCTTTTTTTTTCACACATCATCTACAATAACAAAAGCATAATATGCTAATTAGACCAGACTACCTTGCAGATGACCTTCTAGATGCCCTCCTGGACTAAGTCGCTGCACTGTGGGGGCTGAGGCAGAAGCAGCCATGGCAGTGGCGGGGGCTGAGCCCCTTGCAAGAATTTTGTGCATCAGGCCTCTAGTCTATATATATAAAGCCTAAGTGACCTGTTGACCTGACAACTGAATGACCGGTCGACCGGTTGCTATGACGCGCACTGACCACTAAGGGGCAGACACTCAGTGCCTCCTGGTGGTCAGTGGGCTCTCACAGCAGGAGTGCAGCTCAGCTAACCGACAGGTGCCAAACACTGGGCTCACGGCTGGTGCCTCTCCCCATCTGGACTGACTAGGCGTGAGCCTGCGGCAGGAGCAATGGGGCAGGATGTACGGGAGCAGGGTGACGCCAGGCCCAGGCTCGGGCTCCTCCCCGGCCTCCTGCCACTTAGAGCACTACTACATCCCCTGAGGGGTCCTGGATTGCGATAGGGCACAGGCCAGGCTGAGGGACCCGTGCACCAGGCCTCTAGTTTATAAATAACACATAGCAGTACCTGAAACAGAAACGTCCTTCAACAGACATGAAAAATGTAGGTTGCATCACTTTTAGAATATTGACTCCTGTGTCCTGTGGAAATGGAGACACACAAATAAGCCATTCCGACCTCTGTGGTCCTTGGGTGGTCCTGGTTAAACACATACACTTTTCCCATCCAGGGAGGGTATTAGGTGGACTGAAGTGAAGGAAGGAGGGGTTCCTGGCTGGAGCCACAAACACACTTCTGGTGGCCACTAACCCCGCGGGCGGGCCCGAAAGCCCTCATCAGGATGGACCCGAAGGCCTCCCTCTTATTTTTGCGGCCCCCCACCCCGAACACCCCACCCAGACAATCCCCAAACTTGGATCCAATAGGAGAAAAGACAATATGCTCCCCCTCATTGGATATGTCAGAGGCCCCTCCTCTTCTCAGCTGCCAGCCCCACTTCCCCAGCCACAGTGCGACCACCATAAAACTTCCTTCCACTCCTCCCCTGGCCTCTGGTTTGAGTCCCTGCCAATTGCAAATGCAGGGCGCCCGGCGGCCTAGTACCGAGGCTTACAGTCAAGCAGTAGTTCTCCTTCTCCTGTGGTGACCTTCCTTTCACTCCACACAGGTTGTGTGTGTGTGTGTGTGTGTGTGTGTGTGTGTGTGTGTGTGTGTGTGTAGTGTTGGAGGGAAAAGAAATTAAAAACATTCTGAATAATACCCATGCCCAGTGTCATTCACTAACTAGGTTCTTTGGCATTCTCTCTTCCCCTGCTTCCCTCCCTCCCTCACACCCCCACCTCACCCCACCCACCCCACACCACCCCATCCCACCACACCTCACCCCACTCCACTCCTCACCACTCCACACCACCCCACACCACCCACCTCACCCCACCCCATCCCACCCCACCCCACCCCACCCCACCCCACCCCATACCACCACACCTCACCCCACTCCACTCCTCACCACTCCACACCACCCCACACCACCCACCTCACCCCACCCCATCCCATCCCACCCCACCCCACCCCACCCCATCCCACCACACCTCACCCCATCCCACCCCACCCCACCCCATCCCACCACACCTCACCCCACTCCACTCCTCACCACTCCACACCACCCCACACCACCCACCTCACCCCACCCCACCCCATCCCATCCCACCCCACCCCACCCCATCCCACCCCACCCCACCCCACCCCATCCCACCCCACCTCACCCCACCCCATCCCATCCCACCACACCTCACCCCACTCCACTCCTCACCACTCCACACCACCCCACACCACCCACCTCACCCCACCCCACCCCACCCCACCCCATCCCACCCCACCCCACCCCACCCCATCCCACCACACCTCACCCCATCCCACCCCACCCCACCCCACCCCACCCCATCCCACCACACCTCACCCCACTCCACTCCTCACCACTCCACACCACCCCACACCACCCACCTCACCCCACCCCACCCCATCCCATCCCACCCCACCCCACCCATCCCACCCCATCCACCCACCCCACCCCACCCCACCCACCCCATCCCACCCCACCTCACCCCACCTCACCCTACTGCCATTCCACAAGAGTGGACATTTGTTTTGTGGATTCTGTGCCTCTACCAGAGCTAGCCTGGCTGTACTTTCCCAACACTTTGCCTAAAGCCAATGTAAACTCTTGCAGACAGCTTGCATCTTTCTTTCACCTGCTTGGTGTATAAAAATGCTTGCAAACTCCTACACAATCGACATATTGTCTTTCATGTCCTTTTATATTCTTTCTTTTTGGCTAGCGTTTTTGGCTCAATAAGAAGTTTTCCCCCCTATATTTATGTTTATTAATTTAAGGGAGGAAGGGAGAAGGAGAGAGAAATAGAAATATCAACGACGAGAGAGAATCATGCTCACTGGGGATCGAGCCCATAAACCGGGCGTGTGCTCTGACCAGAAATAGAACCGTGACCTCCTGGTTCTTAGGTGGATGCTCAACCCCTGAGACCCGCAGGCCAGGCTCAGTAAAAGCTTTCTTAAAGACTTGCAGCCTAGGGGGTTCCATGTTTGTTTAACCATTCCTTAAGTATTCATTTTGAATTCATACCCTACTTCGGGTGTTCATGTTATTTTAATTTAATGTCAACTGACGCCTGACAAAATAGACCACAAATGAGCTTTCTTGGAAAACAACCCTTGGAGGCGGACCCCCGACCCACCCTCCCTCCGGTAAGGCACCGGCCCAGCAATTCCCCCACCGGGAGCCTGATGGTCAGCGGTGTGGCCCGCTCAGAGTGCGCTCAGAACCCCGAGCCCAGCGAGGAGGCTGGACTGGCCGCACAGCACGCCTTAGACTGGCGGGTACGCACCCTCCCGCCCAGGCTCACAGCCCCGCCGGGAGCCCATTCATGCCCAGAAAACGCGGGTGGCAGAGAAACCCGCCCCACGCCCGACTGCTCTCCAATCACAGCGCGCGCTACGACGCACAGGCTGGTTGGGCGGTGCGTCTAGAGAGTCCCCGCCCCTCGCCCTCTCGCCAGCCAATTGCGGCGCGCGGTGCGGCGGCTGTAGCGGGGCGCCGCGCGGGGAGGCTGGGCGCGGGGCGGCGGGCGCGGAGATGCCTGGCCGCGGGGGCTCGCGCGGCCCGAAGGTAAGCCGAGGTCCGGAGCAGACGCCGCGCGTTCTTCAGCGCTCGCCCGGGAACTCCGTGCGCATCCGCTCGGGTTCCACCCCGGGACTGGCCCGGCCTGGTAGCGGCGAGGCGCGGGTGCGGTGCTGGTGGGGTCCGGGCAAAGCTGCGGCTCCCGAGGTCGCCCCTCCCGAGCGCGGGCTGAGGGAGCCGCACCTCCCGGCCGCGGGGGGAGGTCCGGGGAGGGGTTGCGCGGGGCGAGGCAGGGGTCCAGCCAGGGCGGACGGAAGCGAGGCGCTGCTCGGACTTGGGATTGGAACCAGCGTGTGCGCTACAGTTGCCCTCGCCGGTGTTTGGTGGCTCTTTATTTGTCTTTTCTGACTCGTGTAACTCACCAAGACAGCGGCGTGTGCACTGGAGTGGCTCTGCTGTCATTTCCACCCACCCCCTCGACCCCCAAATCTCTGTTGCCGCACTCTCCATGCTGCCCCTAACTTTTCCCGATTCTTTCCCTTCCTACTTCTGTGGGACGGGAGTCTGAGGTTCAGTGCGGCCAGGCCATTATATCGGGTCTGCCCGGGGTCTGGCCACGGAGCACGTGCACAGACAGTACTGCATGGGTGACATTAACATACTGCGCTGGGTGGCACACCGGCTACTGCATGGGTGACATTAACATTCTGCGCTGGGTGGCACACCAGCTACTGCATGGGTGACATTAACATACTGCGCTGGGTGGCACACCGGCTACTGCATGGGTGACATTAACATTCTGCGCTGGGTGGCACACCAGCTACTGCATGGGTGACATTAGCATACTGCGCTGGGTGGCACACCAGCTACTGCATGGGTGACATTAACATACTGCGCTGGGTGGCACACCAGCTACTGCATGGGTGACATTAACATTCTGCGCTGGGTGGCACACCGGCTACTGCATGGGTGACATTAACATACTGCGCAGGGTGGCACACCGGCTACTGCATGGGTGACATTAACATACTGCGCTGGGTGGCACACCAGCTAATGCATGGGTGACATTAACATTCTGCGCTGGGTGGCACACCAGCTACTGCATGGGTGACATTAACATACTGCGCTGGGTGGCACACCGGCTACTGCATGGGTGACATTAGCATTCTGCGCTGGGTGGCACACCAGCTACTGCATGGGTGACATTAGCATACTGCGCTGGGTGGCACACCGGCTACTGCATGGGTGACATTAACATACTGCGCTGGGTGGCACACCAGCTACTGCATGGGTGACATTAACCTACTGCGCTGGGTGGCACACCAGCTACTGCATGGGTGACATTAACATACTGCGCTGGGTGGCACACCGGCTACTGCATGGGTGACATTAACATACTGCGCTGGGTGGCACACCAGCTACTGCATGGGTGACATTAACATACTGCGCTGGGTGGCACACCAGCTACTGCGATGGGTGACATTAGCATACTGCGCTGGGTGGCACACCGGCTACTGCATGGGTGACATTAACATACTGCGCTGGGTGGCACACCGGCTACTGCATGGGTGACATTAACATACTGCGCTGGGTGGCACACCAGCTACTGCATGGGTGACATTAGCATACTGCGCTGGGTGGCACACCAGCTACTGCATGGGTGACATTAACATACTGCGCTGGGTGGCACACCGGCTACTGCATGGGTGACATTAGCATACTGCGCTGGGTGGCACACCGGCTACTGCATGGGTGACATTAGCATACTGCGCTGGGTGGCACACCGGCTACTGCATGGGTGACATTAACATTCTGCGCTGGGTGGCACACCAGCTACTGCATGGGTGACATTAGCATACTGCGCTGGGTGGCACACCGGCTACTGCATGGGTGACATTAACATACTGCGCTGGGTGGCACACCGGCTACTGCATGGGTGACATTAACATTCTGCGCTGGGTGGCACACCAGCTACTGCATGGGTGACATTAGCATACTGCGCTGGGTGGCACACCGGCTACTGCATGGGTGACATTAACATACTGCGCTGGGTGGCACACCAGCTACTGCAGGGGTGACATTAACATACTGCGCTGGGTGGCACACCAGCTATTGCATAGGTGACATTAGCATACTGCGCTGGGTGGCACACCAGCTACTGCATGGGTGACATTAACATACTGCGCTGGGTGGCACACCAGCTATTGCATGGGTGACATTAGCATACTGCGCTGGGTGGCACACCAGCTATTGCAGGGGTGGCATTAACATACTGCGCTGGGTGGCACACCAGCTATTGCATGGGTGACATTAACATACTGCGCTGGGTGGCACACCAGCTATTGCATGGGTGACATTAACATACTGCGCTGGGTGGCACACCAGCTATTGCAGGGGTGACATTAACATACTGCGCTGGGTGGCACACCAGCTATTGCATGGGTGACATTAACATACTGCGCTGGGTGGCACACCAGCTACTGCGATGGGTGACATTAACATACTGCGCTGGGTGGCACACCAGCTATTGCATGGGTGACATTAACATACTGCGCTGGGTGGCACACCAGCTATTGCATGGGTGACATTAACATACTGCGCTGGGTGGCACACCAGCTATTGCATGGGTGACATTAACATACTGCGCTGGGTGGCACACCAGCTATTGCAGGGGTGACATTAACATACTGCGCTGGGTGGCACACCAGCTATTGCATGGGTGACATTAACATACTGCGCTGGGTGGCACACCAGCTACTGCGATGGGTGACATTAACATACTGCGCTGGGTGGCACACCAGCTATTGCATGGGTGACATTAGCATACTGCGCTGGGTGGCACACCAGCTATTGCAGGGGTGACATTAACATACTGCGCTGGGTGGCACACCAGCTATTGCATGGGTGACATTAACATACTGCGCTGGGTGGCACACCAGCTACTGCATGGGTGACATTAACATACTGCGCTGGGTGGCACACCAGCTATTGCATGGGTGACATTAACATACTGCGCTGGGTGGCACACCAGCTACTGCATGGGTGACATTTAACGTACTGCGCTGGGTGGCACACCAGCTATTGCATGGGTGACATTTAACGTACTGCGCTGGGTGGCACACCAGCTACTGCGATGGGTGACATTAACATACTGCGCTGGGTGGCACACCAGCTATTGCAGGGGTGGCATTAACATACTGCGCTGGGTGGCACACCAGCTATTGCATGGGTGACATTTAACGTACTGCGCTGGGTGGCACACCGGCTACTGCATGGGTGACATTAACATACTGCGCTGGGTGGCACACCAGCTACTGCATGGGTGGCATTAACATACTGCGCTGGGTGGCACACCAGCTACTGCATGGGTGACATTAACATACTGCGCTGGGTGGCACACCAGCATGTGCGGCGCAGCTGAAAAATCGCTGCTCTAGGGCAGCTGTTGTTTGGAAAGCGGAGGATTTGTGTTTCCCGGGCGGGATCTCTGAAAAAGATATTAATCTCAAGACACCCATGAAACCAGCTTTAGCGGGTTTCCTATCATGTTATGTAGCTTTCGCAGTCAAGGGGGGAGCTGAGGAATGCAAAGCCACTGGGTAATGCCTGGTGGGCGTTGGGCTAAGCTGCAGCTGGTGTAGCACATGTTGTAGGGACAAGTCACCCTTGCTCTGCAAGGGAACAAAGCCAAGAGCTAGAACAGTGCAGAGAAAGGGTGACTATTCAGGCACATATGTGAATGCCACTGTGACTTAGATGATGATATATTTTTTTAAATTTTGTTTTATTAAAGTATTACAAAGAGTATTACATATGTCTCCTTCCGCCCCCCTCCCCCCCAGACCTTCCCCTGGTCTCCCCTACCCCCCAGTGGATATTATTTATTTATTTATCTATCTATCTATCTATCTATCTATCTATTTATTTATTTATTTATTATTTCTAGTGCCGTGGCTGGGATATTTTTATTTTTAAGGAGAGGTTTTGTTTTCTCGAGTTTGCTGTTCCATTACTAATTGCAGTGTATGTAGGTGCTAGCTTGCATTTCAACACTGCAATAATTGCCCTTAAGGTTTAAAAATTATCATTTGCTTTTATTTACTATCCTTCTTAATAGGTGTTACTCACACACGAAGGAAAACTCCACATATTCTCACCAGTCTTTGATGGGAGAGGTTATTGAGGCAGTTTGGAGAGAGATCTTAAAAGATGTCAACTAGCCCAGCCACGAGGGCTCAGTGATTGCATGTCGACCTGTGAACCAGGAGGTCATGGTTGGATTCCTGGTCAGGGCGCTGTTAGGGTTGCCAAAGGAGGAACGCACGAGGCCAGAATGGTGAGGGATTGCGAATTTATTCCATCATCCACACACCAGGTGGCTGAGCCCCAGATGGCTCCAGCACCCCAGTGACGAGAGTCAGTGGTTTTTAAAGGACTTTTGGTGGGCTTTTTCTGGGCGGAGAATTCTCTGTGCAGGTCGGGATTCTGGGACGTGTGTGTGTGTGTGTGTGGGGGGGGGGGGGTTGCGGGGGGGCGGCAGATAATGGTCTTAGCAAGTGGGATGTGGTGGTCTAAGCAAGTGGAATGTCCATTGTGAAGTGGCCTGAAGGTCAGTTCCCAGGGGAGGGGGTATCGATTCAATTCTTTGACCAGACCTAACAGGCACTTGCTGGGGTTGTGGGCTGGATCCCCAGTAGGGGACTTGCAGTAGGCAACCGATCAATGATTCTCTGTCATCATTGATGTTTCTGTCTCTCCTCCTCTCCCTTCCTTTCTGAAATCAATAAAAATATATTTTAAAACAAAAGATGTCAAGCAAATACAGGTGAATTTTAATACCTGTTGTGCATTGACATTTTTAATACAGCAACAGAGTAACTCTTGTATAACAGGAGGAATTATCAGATTTTGGCTATGGCAACAGGATTTCTTGCTTCTTATTGGCTGAAAAAATAAATGAAAGTCATTAAAACAATATTAACATTATTAACTATGCCTTCCATAATTAAACACCCCATTTAAAAATAGAAGTTACACAGTCTGCCTCTTACTTCAATTTTGACTTTTATCTCAACACTAGTGGCCCGGTGCACGAAATTTGTGCACATTAAAAGGGAATTAGAGGAATTAGAGGAAATATTTTAATATTGCTATTTGCCCTTTTTCAATAATAGAAGTGTCAGAGATGAAAGAAAATTAGTAAAATGCATATGAAAATCTCCCTCCTGTCAAAGTCTGGGGTGTGCTGTGGGACCCAGAGTCAAGTCCCCGCCCACCACCCACATGCACTTTGAAAATGCAGGAGACCCAGAACTGGCCGGCCCCACCCCCATTGGGTAAGACCCAGACCCGGCCGGCCCCACCACCGTCAAGCCCCTCCAGGTGGGGTGGGGGCGCAGCCTCAGGTCCCCCAGCCTGGTGCCGGGTCGGGGGGTGCAGTCTCAGGTCCCCTGTCAAGCCCCACTGGGTGGGGGTGCAGCCTCAGGTCCCCTGGCCCGGCGATGGGGCCAGGGTCATGGCCTGAGGTTCCCTGGCCCGACACTGGGGTAGGGGGGGCATGGCCTGAGGTCCCCTGTCAAGCCCTGCTGGGCAGGGGGCCGTGGCCTGAGGTTCCCCCGGCTGGGTGCTAGGGTGGAGGGCGTGGCCTGAGGTCCCCCGTCAAGCCCTGCTGGGCAGGGGGCCGTGGCCTGAGGTTTCCCCCGGCTGGGTGCTAGGGCGGAGGGCGCGGCCTGAGGTCTCTGTCAAGCCCCGCCAGGTGGGGTTGTGGCCTGAGGTCCCCTGGCCCGGGCTCGGGTGGGGGCTTGCTTTGAGGTTCCCCATCAAACCCCGTGGGCAGGGTGTGTGGCCTGAGGTCCCCCGTCAAGCCCTGCCTGGTGGGGGGCACGGCCGAGGTCTCCCAGCCTGGCACTGGGGCAGGGGGCGTGGCCTGAGGTCCCCTGTTAAGCCCCACCAGGCAGGGGGGCGCAGCCACACAGCCTCAGGTCCCTGCTGATTGCTCGTTAAGGCTCATTACGGGAACTTGGCTTCCACTGTGGACTACCAGCAGTTCTCTCCTCAGTATTGGGCCCTTTTGGGGGAGGTGGTCCCAGTTACTGGTTGTTTGAGTACCCAGACTGCCCCACCCCTTCGGATCTTGGTTGGGACCTTGTTCCCACCCCTTTGCAGATACTGTTCTCAGGTCGCCTGCTCCACTTTGTAGTGAACACCGGTTGTCTTTGTGCACAGGCCCTTCGTTGCTTCTCTCAGCTTCTTGCCTTTCGGATATGATACCATGCATGAGTTTGGAGGCTGGATTGTTTATTCTGACCCATTTGTGTTTTGGACTTTGTCGACAAGTTGTAATTGTTGTCTCAGTACTTTTGGTTTTGCTGTCACATTACTCCTTCACATGGGGATTCAGAGACATTTAAAAAATATGCCTTCACCATCGCCATTCTGGGTTTCCATATTGTTAATTGTCAACTTAGTGAAGTTGATTTTTTTTTTCTTTAAAAATTATCACTACAGAGAAAAAGAAACCGGGATCTTGTGGAATACCCCTCCTTTCCGGGAGAGTGTCCACCGCAGTCCAGAAGAGCAGGCCTCAGGGCAGTGGGGGCCACTGCCTCCCTCGCAGAAGCATGGCTCAGGTGTGAAGAAGGATTTCAGGATTCTCCTGGGACTCGGGTAAAGTACTAATTCGGGCAAGGGGTGTCCTTTAAGCTGAAAGTTCGTTATAATAATAAAGTAGGGTTTTCGAATGTACATGTTAAAAAATTGACAAATTAGTTTATCTGTTTTTGCTTTTGTAGACATGTTTGTTTAATTAAAGCTTGTATGAAAAGTTTAATTTCACAGAAAAGTTTTTTGTACGTATTACTATAATTTTTAAATTTATACTGAATAGGTCTAGTAAATGCATGCATTTACCAATCATCACCAGCAAACAAATGCACACGGCTGGGGCATGGCTTAGCACGCCTCAGGACATTGGCTGGCACACGTTAAAGAAAGTCACACCACGCAACAACAAGCAATGTGCAATGCGGCATGATCCCGTGCTAATCACTCGCCAAACACTGTGAGTGGTGACTCTTGGATTTAAATATCCTGTATAATAAAACCCTAATATGCAAATTGACCAAACTGTGGAACAACTGGTCGCTATGATGCACACTGACCATCAGAGGGCAGATGCTCAATGTAGGAGCTGCCCCCTGGTGGTCAGTGCGCTCCCACAGGGGGAGCGCCACTCAGCCAGCAGCCGGGCTCTCAGTTGGCGAGCTCAGCTATTGCAGGGATGACAGTAACATACTGCGCTGGGTGGCGCAGTGCACAAAATTTTGAGCACCGGGCCTCTAGTGTAGACTATATTTGTAGATAATGTAATCCTTATTTGTGTTGGCAAAATTACTATAGTGTTTTTTCCCCAAATACAGTCTATTCACTAAAATTTGTTAAAAATAATAGTGAATTAAAAAAACAACAACTGTTAATTTAATTACAAGCAAATGTTGGTTAAAAGCAGTTTGAAATTAACAGGGTGTTTTAAAACAACATCCAGACCGGAAGTTTTGTTCATTAAATCCAAATTCTGTTAAATTGAAGACTGCAACCTTGAGGGTTTACTATAGTAAAATTGTTTAGATCTACGTGTTCAGGCCACTGTACTTTTATTTCTTTGGAATTCCCTTTCTTGTTTTCTTTGAAAATACTGTCATGATATAGTAGGAAACCATATTACATTTTTTTCTCATCCTTGAATTCCTTTAATAGTTGTGGCATGTTAGTATTCACCTCTTTATGCCATGCAAAACCTTTATTCTTTTTTTTTTATATATATATATATGAAGGATACCTACTGAGAATTTTCTGAGAAGAGTATTTTCAGAAGAGCACTGAGCATCCTCTTTACAAGAAGTATAATTATGCAATGCTTATATATTCAGATATATAATGAGATATTCAGGTTATTTTTTGTAAATGTAACTTTGAAGTACAATATGGAGCAATACTATTATAAACTAAATGTTAGACAGCTTTCTGTTTAGATTCAGGAAAAATATAAAAATACATTTATAATATATGAAGAGTATGTACTTTGGAAATAATTATTGGTAAATATAAATACAGTGGGGCCTTGACTTAGGAGTGTCCCGACTAACGAGTTTTTTGAGATACGAGCCGTCTCTTGGCCGATTTTTTGCTTTGAGTTGCGAGCTAAAATTTGGGTTATGAGCCAGCTTCAGATACCCCACCGCTGGTTGGCGCAGCGAACGTCATAGTGAACGCCACAACATCAGCCCAGCATCACTGTCTGTCTCGTTCACTTTTTGATTTGACATATGAGTAATTAGAGTTACGAGCTCCGTCACGGAACGAATTAAACTCTTAAGTCAAGGCCCGACTGTAAAGGAAAACAGAGAGGAATACGTTAAGGAGGATGTAGTTAAGGTTTTGAATATTTTACAAAATATCATTGGTTTTTAGCCCTTATCACATAAATTACTACATTGTTGTTGTTAATATTATTTTTATTATCTGCCTACAGTCATTAGCAGCTGAAAAGAAGACTATTATAGAGAAGCACCTTGAATTGTTTGCTAGTCCCAAAAAAGGTAATATTTTGTTGATTTCTTGACAGAAAAGTATAAGGATAATATATTCTTCCTTGATTTATTTTCCCTCTTATAAAACATTATTTACATAGTTTGAATAGACTATATATTCATGCTTTAAAAGCATCCCAACACTGTAATCAGGTGTTTTTTGAGAAATCTGTCTCTCACCTTTGTCACTATCTGCCCCATTTGTCCTGCCTTCTATAGGTAAGCATTAAAATTTTTTGTGTGCCCTTTCTGGGTTTACTCATTGACAGAGCCCAGTAGGTTAGCTCAGACTCATAGCTCCATGGTTTTAAACACTGTCTGATTTGTGAAATAAAATTATGACCTACTTCAGGCAATGAAATTCTTTTTTTTTTTAATATATTTTATTGGTTTTTTACAGAGAGGAATGGAGAGGGATAGAGAGTCAGAAACATCGATGAGAGAGAAACACGGATCAGCTGCCTCCTGTACACTCCCCACTGGGGATGTGCCCGCAACCAAGGCACATGCCCTCGACCGGAATCAAACCTGGGACCCTTGAGTCCGCAAGCCGATGCTCTATCCATTGAGCCAAACCGGTTGTGGCGGCAATGAAATTCTTACTTGACAAATTAGTTAGGGAAGGCTTTCAGTTACAAATAGTGGGGAACTATATTAGAGTGTTTGAAGAAATGGGGTTGAATTTATCTTCTGTCACAAGAAGTCCAGGCAGCCAGGCTCTTTCTGAATTCTGTAGCATTAGTGTGGGGTTGTTCTTGTGGTTAAGAGGTAGAAGCTGAATTCTCCAGGCCCAATTCTTGGGAATAATGTAGGGTTTGAGGATTTTCTCCAAGGGAACTTTTCATCTGGGAAGGAATTTCCTCTCCAGGACCTCTAGGTTTGGCCATAACCTATTACATAGAGGCACCTCCCCTAAAGAGAATTCAGTGAAATTAAGGATTTTTAAACATGTATGTTGCTACTCAAATAAAATTGGGGTTTTGTTAGTAAGGAAGAAGAGGGGTTAGGTATCAGGTAGGTCATTGGCTGTGCTGCTACACTCAGTGTTACTGTGGGTGGGCAGGGAGAGTGGGGATCTCATCTGGCCCATGGTATCCTGACTGTCCTGACTGTGATCTTGGGAAAGCAAGCGAAACATGCTGCCTTAGTTTTTGTATCTGGAAAATGGGAATAAGAATGTGTGCCTCATTGGATTATTGTGAGCTAAAAAAACAAATGCTTAGTTCAAATGCGTCAATGGCAGCAATTGCTATTATGTCTAATGGCCAAATGAACGATATGAAAGCCTGTTCAGAATTCTGCAGAGTGGGAAAACTGTGAATAAGAGACTGAACACTTTAAGTGATATTATTATTTCACTAAAATTTATGCAAATGAAAATAAAATTTATCAAATTTTAAAAAATTCCTAAAATTCTATATTATAAAAGAAAACTGGCACACATCTTTTTGTAATACCATAATATTCTATAGGATCTCTAGAATTTAACTTTTCTTCTTATTAGTGCCAAAGGCTATGATATTCAAAGATCAATTAATTCTGACTTCTAAACTATCATAATATATTGTATGGAGAAAATAGTATTTTATAGATGTGGCTTATATCTTTCTGTGAACATTTTAAGTATAGTTAAACTTAGAGAAAGAAATATTAAATAAGCTGCTACCTTTTATCTAATTACAAAAGTATGTTTTACAATGATTTCCCTACATCAGTATATATTTGACTCACTCTGCTATACATTCTGTATTGTAGAATACTTAATACATTCTTAAAGGCTTAAAGATCTTTTATCAATATACTAGAGGCCCAGTGCATGAAATTCGAGGAGGGGGGTGGGGTCCCTCAGCCTGCCTGCACCCTCTCCAATTCGGGACCCTTTGGGGGATGTCCGACTGCCTCTCACAATCCGGGACTGCTGGCTCCTAACTGCTCGCCTGCCTGCCTGATTGCCCCTAACCCCTCTGCCTGTCTGCCTGACTGCTCCTAACCACCTCTGCCTACCTGATTGCCCCCAACCACCTCTGCCTGCCTATCTGATCACCCCTAACTGCTCCCGTACCAGCCTGATTGCTCCCCTGCTGGCCTTATCATTCCTAATTGCCTCTGCCTTGCCTCGAACCCGGGACCCAGGATTCCCTCCTCTGGCTGGTCGCAGGCACCCGGGACCTGGGCCAGCTTCATCCGGGCCGGCCACAGCCGCAGGGGACCATGAGCGGGTGGCTTCACCTGATCCGCAGCCACAGGTGCTGGCGCCTGGCACCGTGTGGGGGGTGGCTTGTCCCTCTCCCAGGCCGCAGGCTCAGGTGCAGCCGCTGGCGCCCGGGACTGCAGGGTGTGCGGCTTGTCCATGGAGCGGGTGGCTTGTCCCTCTCCCGGGCTGCAGCCTGGCTGGTCCCCATTCCTCTCTTGCTAGCTCATCTGTGCCTGGCTGGTCTCCATTCTTCTCTTGTGAGCTCATTTGTGCCTGGCTGGTCCCCATTCCTCTCTCCCCAGTGTTGAGTATCTGAGCCTTTACTACGTGATGGCGTGAGGGCATGACAACCATTTGCATGTTAGCTCTTTATTATATAGGATAATTACTTTACTTCCAGCATATAAGAAGCTTATTAAAGCAAGAAAGTAGTGATAATTTAACAAAAAAGTTGATAAAACAGACTCAAGGTATTTCTTAGAACTGGCTCATTTTAAAAATAGCATCTAAAGTATTAAAGCCAAACTACTAACAGAAATTTTAGGGTGTGGAAGCAATATTTTTATCAGAGCTGGGAAGTAGAAGTGGTAGAACATACTTTTGCAAAGTGTGCAAAAAAAAAAAAAAGACAATGGGAACCAGAGAAAACTAAAACAGGAGGAAATGAAGAAGATGGGAAGGTGAGAGAAGAAATTGTATGAATATTTACTGACTATTAAATTATGTATAATGATTTTACTTATATAAATATTATAGTTAAGTGTCTATAATTCATAGGCTTATGAATTTCATGAATTTGTTATATAATCACATAAATAGTGATAACTTCCTGTCTTAGTCTATTCAGGCTACTAACAACAACAGAAATAAACACCCATAGAATCGGTAGTTTATAAACAGCAGAAATACTATTTCTCATAGTTTTGGAGGCTGGCAGTTCAGTGCATTTGGTGTCAGGTAGATTCTCACTTCCTGGTACATACACACCGTCATGTTGTGTTCTCATATGGCAGTTATTCAGGATGCAGGAGCTCAAATAAGACTGTCAGCTGATTTCTTAACAGAAACATTTTCAGACCAGAAGGGATTGACACAAATTATTCAAAGTGGGGAAAAGCAAGGACCTACAACTGAGACTACTGTACCCAGGAAGGCTATCATTTAAAATTGAATGAGAAATAAAGAGCTTTCCTGACAAGAAAAAGCTAAAGGAGTTCATCATCACCCAGCCAGTATAATAAGAAATGTTAAAGGGAATTCTTTAAGAAGAAAGAAAAAAGAGAGGAACAAATGAATAACAAAATGGCAACAACTGCATATCTGTCCTATATAATAAGAGGCTAATAATGCAAATCGACCGAACGGCGGAATGACCGGTTGCTATGATGCGCACTGACCATCAGGGGGCAGACACTCAATGCAGGAGCTGCCCCCTGGTGATCAGTGCGCTCCCACAGGGGCAGCGCCACTTAGCCAGAAGCCAGGCTCATGGCCGACGAGCACGGTGGTGGTGGGAGCCTCTCCCGCCTCCACAGCAGAAATAAGGATGTCCTACTGCTGGAGGGAGCAGGGCCTAAGCCGTCAGTTGGACATCCCCCAAGGGCTCCCGGACTGTGAGAATGTGCAGGCTGGGCTGAGGGACCCGCCCAAGTGCACAAATTTCGTGCACCGGGCCTCTAGTCTATATATTTAAAAGGCTAATATGCAAAGTGTCCCCGCGGAAGTTCGAACAGGAGACCGGGAGTTTGATTGCTTGCTATGACATGCGCTGACCACCAGGGAGCAGCCTGGAACGAAGGAAGGCCCTGGTTGGCAGCCAGGGAAAGGAGGCACCAGCCGGCAGCCAGGGAAGGGAGTCCCTGGCTGGCAGCTGGAAGGCCCCAATTGGCCCTGATTGTACACTGGGCCTCTAGTCAATAATAATCACTTTAAATGTAAATGGATTAAGTGCTCCAATCAAAAGACATAGGGTAGCTGAGTGGATAAGAAAACGAGACCCATATATATGCCTTTTACAACAGACCCACTTCAGATCGAAAGACACAGACTGAAAACAAAGTGATGGTAAATAATATTTCATGCACATGGTAACAAAAAAATAGAAGCTGGGTTTGAATTTATATAGAAAAAAACACAAAAACCATAAAAAACATAAAAATGAAGGCTATAATAAGAGACAAAGCAGGACAGTACATAATGATAAAGGAATGTTGAGTATCCATCCAACAAGAGACTATAACCCTTATAAACATTTATGCACCCAACATAGGAGCACCTAAATATATAAAGCAAATATTGATGGATATAAAGGGAGAGACAGTAATATAGCCATAGTAGGTGACAGTAACATCTCATTGACATCAATGGATAGATTTCCCAGGCAGAAAATCAGTCAGGAAACAGCGACCTTAGAGAACACATAGACCAGATGGACTTAATTGATATTTTTAGAATATCTGCCACCCTAAGGCAGCAGAATATACATTCTTTTCAAGTGCACATGGAACATTTTCTAGGATAGACCTTGTTAGACTACAAAACAAGTCTATAAAATAAAGATTGAAATCTTCTGATAAGTGGTTAATATCCAAGATTTATAAAGAAGACAGACAACACCATAAAACCCCCCAAAACAGTTAAAAAATGGTCAGAGAACCTGCATAGACACTTCTGCAAAGAAGACATACAGATGGCCAGTTGACAGGAAAAAATGCGCCATGTCATTTAATCATAGAGAAATGCAGATGAAAACTACAATGAAATACCACCTCATACCTGTCAGAATAGGAATCAGTAAATCAACAAACAGCAAGTG